GAGATTCAACGAAGCTCTCGATGAGATTCCGGCGCAATGAACTGGAAAGGCGGACAGAAAGTTGGATATTTTAAGAGAGGAGGGAGTTATCGTTGATCTGAAGTGAAAACTGGAGCGTCGAAGGCAAAAGACAAGTAAGAGGGATGGGACGGAGTTTTTGGACTTGAGTGTTAGACTTTAAAAAGAATAAGGAGCTTTTTGTGTCGTCTGTAATCTATAGTGGACTTATTAAAAAAACCCACTGAAAAGCTGCCCAAGGCCCAAGACGATAGATCTTTGGGCCTTGTAGGCCTAAACTTTTAATTTCCTAGGCCATAGGGATTACGAAATTTTCTTAAACAGTTAAATCAGTTGAGGGCCCACACTAGATAAGGAAATTGGAATCATTACGTGTAGGACGAAGGAAAATGGAAATCCAAGTGTTTATTTAGAATGATGCTGATGCTACATGTTATGTTCACCTCGTAAATCTGATCATTTGCTGGACTCTTCTCTTCTTCAATCCAAACTAAAGACACAATTCATTGAGTCAGTCTCCTCGAGATGAAGCTCGATCATTTTGGTCATTCCCATCCTTTGGTGCTGGTGGAAGAGGAGATTGATTGGATTAGTATAATTTATTACTGCTCGGCATGTCGGGAACGGGTAGAGGGTTCTTACTACACCTGCTCAGAGTGTGACTTTTGTCTTCATAAGCTTTGTGCTGAGCTACCGAGGGAGATCAATCATCCCTTTCACCTCGACCATCCCCTCATTCTTTACGAGAAGCGGCCGAGATACCCCTCTGCTGGTGCTGGGTTTGTTTGCGATTCTTGCGGAAAATCAAAAGGTGGGGATGAATTTGTTTATCATTGTTCCTCTTGTAGATTTGATCTTGACATTAATTGTGTTTTGCCTTCATACTTGATTACGGGAGATTTCCCAAAGCTAGAACATTTTAGTCATCAACATTCACTCTTCTTCATTCAAAACCACCATGTTGAACCCCGAGATCGATCTTGCTCTGCATGTGAAGAGCTGATACTAGGTCCATTTTATGGCTGTTTTGTTTGCCTTTTTTTCCTTCATAAAAAATGCTTTGACTTACCCCTTAAGGTCAAACACCCTAGTCACCGC